GAAGAGGTCGGGGGTGTCGGTGGTGAGGATGCTGGTGAAAGGGAACAGCTTGGGGTCGGGGAAGCCGAAGTAGGAGGAGTTGAGGTAGCCGTGCACCACCGAGGTGACGGAGGGCTGGAAGGCTCCGGGGAAGTCGGCGATGGGGGGGTGGAAGTTGTCGAAGGTGAAGTTGGTCCTGCTGGGATGCAGCGGAGTCGTCAGCACCACCAGGTCGTAGAAAGCAGAGCCCTGGCCTTCGGTGCTCTCGTAGTGGACCTGGTACAGGGCTCTGCCCTCTGAAGAGAGACAGGGGACAGTCAGGAGCAGCCCTGAGCCCCAGGTGGTGCTGCCCTGACCCTCTTTTTTCCAACCATGCCCTGGTTTTGCAGCACACAGCAGTGCTGGACTACAGCACCTGATGGTTACAGAGGAGTTTCTGATGCCTTAGGATGGCAGAAAGGCTTCATTAAGACATAAAATGTTTCCAGAGAGGCCCAGCCTAGTGGGGGCAAAGAGGACTGGGGGAACACAGCCCACATCCCAGATATTTTTCTGCTGTGGTGGAAGGGGGAGCGAGCCTGCAACAAGGATGGTGCCACAGGAGAACCTGATGGACCTCAGGAGGGAGGGAGGGCAACCTCAGGCCTGAGGTTGGTGCTGCAGGGTCCCATTGGATCAGACAAAGGGAGAAGGACAGACCCCCACTGGATCAGACAAAGGGAGGACAGGCCCTCAGGGCCTCTCCCAAATGCCTCACCAGGACCAGGATGCCCTCCAGCCACAGCATTCCCATGCTGCCACCACCAGCCTCACACCCTGGTGCACCCAGAGCCACACCCACGCCCAGGCTCACCCGAGCTGTGCAGGGAGATGCCTGTCACCCTGGCAGAGATGACATTAGCTTTGGTCAGCTTCAGCAGACCTGAACACACCAGCTTATTCCCTCCTTCCACCGCCCAGGTGCTGCCCTGGGCTCCCGCCAGCGACATGGCCCCTGCAGAGAGGAAGACAAGGGTGGCTCCACAGCCCGGCCGCAGAGGGGACACTGAGGAGTGTCACACAGCAAGAGGAGGTGGCTTCACCTGCGAAGGCGGGCACCAGCACGGACTGGCCGTAGCTGGAGCGCAGGACGGCGGCGATGACGTCGTCCACGAAGCGCTGGGTGACACCGACCTCCAGCAGGGACTCGGCCACCGAGCGCTGGGTCATGTTCACGAAGGCCTCGCCCCCCAGCGAGCGCAGCAGCTCCTCCAGGCTGGAGAAGGCGTAGCCGTGTGCCTGGTACTTGTAGATCCTGGAGGGGGCAGGAGCAGGGGGCACCTGGTGATGCCCTGGTGCCAGGGAAACCCCCCCAGCCCCACGGGCTCTCCTACCTCATGAACTTCTCCATCACCTCCTCCACCCACATCTGCAGGCGCAGGAAGCTGATGCCATAGTGCCACCAGAGGCGGAAGAGGTTGAGCAGGTACCAGTCGGTCTCCTCCAGGACGAAGTGCTCCCCGCTGAAGATGGCGCTTTTCCCGGCCACCTCGCGCCGGTGCTTGAGGCCTGCAGGAGCACAGGGACCGCGTGGCTGCCCCTCCCTGGGGCCGGCTGGCTCCTGGGAAAGGCCAGCACTGGACATGTCCAGGCAGGGATAGGGGCAAAGATGCTCTTGGAGGAGCATCAGGAGTGAGAGACCGCAAGGCATGGGCTCCCAGCCACAGCATGTTGGGGCATCTCATGGAGCTGCTGCTGCTGACTGGGACAGACTGGTAGGAGTTTGTGAACAACCGCCCAACACTAATTCCATCAGGACCCTCTGATGGTGACCACCATGCCCCTTTCTCTCTCCAGGGCACAACAGGAGAGACAGCAAGGGGCTCACCACATTCCTTGGGTGCCAAGGGCGACCGGCAGTAACCCACCCCACTACCCGCAGCACAGAGCCTGGGGGTGTCCCAGCCCCCCAGCTCAGCGAGGGAAGCCATGCAAGCACTGGGCCGCCCGGTCTCACCCAGGATCTTGACGAAGTCCTGCATGTGGAGGCTGAGGGCGTGGATGGAAGCTCCGCGGCTCTCATACTGCTGCTTGTTGACGGTGACGGTGGCCAGGCGCCCGCCCACGCCCGCCGCCTCGTACACGTCCAGCTGCACCTGCGGCCCGAAGTGCTGCTGCAGGAAGTACGCGGAGGCCGAGCCCCCCAGCCCGGCGCCCACCACGGCTGCGGGCGAGAGCGGCGAGAGGCCGGGTCAGCATCGCCCCGGGGGCGCGGGGGGTCCCGCCGCTCCCCCGGCCGCGGTGGGGAAACGCCAGCGCCGCCTGCGAGGGCGGCGACGCTCGGGGATGGGGATGCAGGGTGCGGAGCGGAGCGGTGCGGTGCGGAACGCTCCGTGCCGGCCCGGCGGGGCGGGGAGGCGGCCCGGTGCTGCCGGCCCCCGCCCGCTGGGCTCCCGGAGGCCCACCCCACCCTACGGCATCCCCGCGTACCGATGGAGCGCGGCGCGGCGCGGGCGGCGGGCGCGGCCGGGAGCGCGGCCAGCAGCGCGGCCAGGGCCGGCAGCAC